AGGTTGGGAGTAGAAATCACAATGCATGTTGAATAAGAGAGGAAAAAACAATTAAGAATTATACATGACAGCAGAGACCCAAAGGTTTCATTGGGTGTGTCTATGCAATTCCTCCTTTACGGCTTATTTTAAACATGAAAATGGTTATGAAAGAAGGAAGGTTCCATTTCAAAGAGAGTTTCACTCCGAAATATCAGCTAGCAAACAGAACAGAATTGCAGAAGATTTCAACTTTTACCAACCATCCAACAAAATTCTCAAGACCACAAAAGGTCTTGAATGTATAACCCAGGCTGACATTCCTATTGCAGGAGTGCTCTATCACAGGTGCACCATTCAGATGAAACTTTAAAAGGGCACTCTGCTTGTCCTCTAAAACGTGTTTAAAATATTCCATGGCACAATTTTGAAACAGAGCAAGGAAACTTTCTGTGCTCTGGCCAAAATTCATGCCTCAAAAGAACAGCACTAAACAGGTTGCCTAATCATTATCACATTGTTGTTTGTTGGACACGCTGCATGCAGATTGACTGGTATGTTTCTACAATGCAGCAGTGCTGACATTTCAAAACTACCTCATTGGCTGTGAAGCATTTTGAAATGTCCTTAAGTCATGAACGCACAGAATAAATGCAAATCTTTCCTTCCTCAAAATGAGCTTAACAGGAAGGTACCTAGACAATGACTAAAGGTGGAGTTTGAATCCATTGATAATCAAAAGGAGCGACTGCAGCCCTGAAAAGGTTACTGCCAGACTTGCTATGTTCATCCATGGACAGAAAGCAGAGACAGTCCAGTGACTCTCCTTTAGAACTGAATTTCTCAAGAAGAGTCACTGGAATTGAAACGTTAAGTCTGCTTTCTCTTCACGGATGCTGCCAGACCTGCTGAGTTTCTCCAGTTATTTCTGTTTTGGTTTCAGATCTTCAGCATCCACAGTTCTTTGTTTTATTTTACTGAAAAGGATGAAAATGCTCAACATTTACTGTCCAGCATATTAAATAATACCAAAAAGACTCTCCCTAGTGGGAACTCTTAAACAGAACAGAGGTTTGTGAAGCTGATTCATCTGATTTAATGCCAGACTCTTATTTTAACCCCCATAAATTGACCTTAAAAATATATTTTAAAAAAGGTCTAGTTGTTGAAAGCATTGTTAAAAAAAAAAACACCTAAATGATTTAGTGCAACTTATGGACATTTAAAATTGTGGCTGCTTCAGAAATATATTTTGTCAGAATTCCAAAATAATACAAGCTCAAATTTCTAAACCAGCAATAAACTGAGTCAGATGCTTGTAGCTACATATGAACATACTTATCCCTTGAACCTACAATCAATGAATGTACAAGTGTTCTGACGCCTGCAGAACACTTACCTGTGCTTTTCAATTTGTTTTCAGTTAAATGCATACAAATAAACACACATGAAATGAGGTGACACTCAAATATGGACGAAGGTTTTTTTCCCCCCCAACTCACTTTATCCATACTCCGTGAGTGAAACAGCTAGTCTATTCTGGTAAGTACAAAGTCATACAAACTTCATTACCATTTTAGCTCAATACTGTTTGGGGTGGTTGGGGGGGTGGTGGTGGTATGGGTAGAAAAGATACCGGAAGAGTGAGAGAGAAAGAGAAAGTACAACACAAATATTGGTCAAAGAGAAAATTCTCTTCCTTGGCTAGATTTCATGCATTAGGAATTTAAAGAGAGTTAAAGCATGTGATTCTGATGTTCTCTCAGAAAGGTACTGTTAATATTGGCAATGAAAATGTCTGCGATCATAAGAATAAGCACTTTCAACTGAACTAGTCACAAGACCAAGTCCCACTCAAGTTGTGAACACAAAATCCAGACTGATAGAGTAATGACGAAGGAGTGTTGCACTGTCAGAGATGCTATCTTCGGAGCTCCTACATACAATATTTGAAGATGGACAGGAAAGTTTAATTGAAATGTACAAGTGTTAGCCAAGACACCATCTCTTTAAAAATTAACAAATTGATCAATTATTCTATAGCTGATTTTGGAACAGTGTTCATACAGGCAGTTGCATTTGCTCATATAGCAACACTGACTGCAATTCAAATGAACAGTCAACCAAACAAAGAACCGAACAGACAGTTCATAAACGTACTTTAAACTGAGCTAAGCCCGAGGCACTTCATCACCAAGACCACCTCTGCAATATTGTTTATCCTCATCTGTCCCAACATACTTGGTGCTGAATCTTTATCCATATCTCTGTCATTATAATATTGACATTTTATATATTACAATGGTGACTTACAACTCAATTATTCCAATGTACTCCTGTCTGGTCTTCTATTCTCCAATCTCACATCCAATTGTATAACATCTGTAAGATCACCTTTGCTCATAATTCTAACACCACGTAAACTAAAGGTTATTCAAATACACCTTAGTTATATACAAAGAACAATACAGCATAGCCCTTTGGCCCACTAAGACTGCGCTGCCTCATTATGCCATTCCAAACTAAAATTGTTTTGCCTCTACGTGGTCTGTATCCCTGTATTGCCTAACATGTAATGTTTGGAATTACATTAAACCATAACCCACTAATTGCTACAAAGCAAATCAGATTTAAGTGACAATGCATTCCAGCTGTTCTTTAATTCACATGGAAAATATTTTCTTGTATCCATATTATTTGTTGGTTTAAATTGTTCCGTAGCCATTATACAGAACGATTACAGGGGAGGAAGCTTTTGGACCTGTTTTAAGCTGTCTCGCTACACTGATTATAAATTCCGACACTGTTTCTAAATTTCTAAAAAAGCTTTCACCTTTAGTACTTGATTTGAGAGTTCCTTGGTGTTCATTGACCTTTGTATGAAACTCCTGATTGACTTTCATAAATTTCAACCTGCATCCTACTCATGCAATTCAATTAAAAGTAGTCTGAATTTACTTGCTCTGTACCATTTATGAGTAATAAGGTCACCTCACAGTAACCTGCAACTCATTTTTTAAGCAATTTTTTTTCCTGTAAGAGAAACCATAGAATAGGACTTTTTCTGGATCAGAAGCTGCAGTAGAGAGATCAGTCAAAACTAATTGGTTAAATATTCTGTATTTAAACATTATTTGAAAGGCACAAAAATTACAGTAAGCAGAGTTTACAGATGTACATTTTTCACAGGAAAGGCATCCTCCGTGTAATCTTAGAGGTGTCTGTTGTGAAGAACGATTGTAGAAATGTAGGCTTTAAAAGCAGTCACCCGGGAGTTGACCTTACTCATTGTAAATGGCACAAAGCAAGTAAATTCAGACTACTTTTAATTGAATTGCAAGAGAAGGATGCAGGTTAAAACTTTAAAGTCAATCAGGGGTTTCATATAAAGGTCAATGAACACCAAGGGACTCTCAAATAGAGTATTGAAGGTGAAAGCTTGGGATCAATTTAGAAACAAGTGGATTTTGCCAGTGTAGGAATTTATGATCAGTGTAGAGAAACAGCTTAAAAACAGGTCTAAAAGCTTTTGAGAAAACAAGGTGCAGGGCTGGATGTTCATCCAGCCCTGCACCTTGTTGTCTCGGATTCTCCAGTATCTGCAGTTCCTACTATCTCTAAAAGCTTTTCCCCATATTAGTTTTGTGTAATGGCCATGGACTAACTGCATTAACAAATAATAGAGAAACAAGGAAATATTTTCCACATGAGTTAAAGAGCAATTGGCATACATTGTTATTTAAAACCAATTTGTTTAAAAGGTTATGGTTTAATGCAATTCCAGAAGAGTACATATAAAAACAAGATGTATTTTTGTACGAGTTGAAATCTACTTTAAGATGGAGGCTGGATCAAAAGTAGCAAATGGGAAATTTTGGGGGTTAAAGATGCAGAGATGTAAAAAAATGCAAATTAAAACACCTTTTAAGCTGGGGACAGGGAGTAAATTCAAAGCTAGTCAGCAAAACATTATTTCAATGAAGGAGAAAGTTATTTCATGAAACAGATTTCCCAAAAAGAGAAGGAAACAAAGTGGATTGATTTATTCAAATATAAACTAAACTCCTGAAAATATATTTTGGGACGGAGTATGAGAGAAAATTTAAGGCATGGCTCGTGGTTAGTGTACCAAGCTTGGAAGGAATAGCTGACCTTGCACTCAAGATTGGAACCTTTCCCACACTGGAGTTTGAATCATGTCTGGGTCTAATGTAGACTCGTAAACAAATTGCACGACTACTCAAGAACATTTGTGGTACCAGGTGTCTATCATGTTGATAAAAACTGAACTAGGTGGGCATAGTTTTCTTATTCCAGTAATTTGTGCATGCCCATGTTTTTACTGAATCTAATCCAATCTTTGCACAAAAACAATGTTGCTGGAAAAGCAAGTCTGGCAGCATCTGTGGAGAAGAAAACAGAGTTAACGTTTCGGGTCCAGTGACCCTTCCTCAGAACAATCTTTACCTGATGTGGGATATAAATTGGTAGAAAAGGTTCCAATCTTGAACACTGATGTTTTATCATCCATGAAATTAGTTTCAGTGCATGTTATCCACTGATTCCACAAGGTGAAGGTTTGAGCCCCATGTCAGGTTTTCGTCATATAATCTAGGCTGACTTTTCAGTAAAGTATTGTTGGAGTGCTGCACAGTTGACAGTGTTGCCTTGTGGATGAGCTATTAACCCAACCTTCAAAGGGTTACACTGCACTATTCAAAGTGAAGCGGCAGTATTCTGTACCATATTATCTCCCAAACAACATAAGCAAAAAACAAAGCTAATTCATCATTCATCTTAGTGCTCACTTTGGGAGCTTGCTCTGAACAAATTTGCTGTTATTTTTGCAAAAAGCACATCCATGACCGCATTTGAAAAGTAATTACATGTGAAATGTCTTAGAATAACCTAGGTACCGTAAATGTGCAAGGTTGTTTTTCTTTCATTTTAACAGCTCATTATGATGATTAACCATAAAATAAATGGAAAGATTCAGACATTTATACAAATTGTAAGGATACTCCTCACTGCTGCGAATGTCCACCACTAGTAGTTTTGGCTTCCCCGATTTTGTCTTTTTGGTGGGCATCTTGGAGCTTGTGGGTCCCGACAACTCACAAAGATCAATTAGATCTTCTGCAGAAATCCGTGGTGATACTTCAGTCTTCAGTTCATTTAATCGAATGGATTCACGAGACTAAGGAAAGACAGAATTTCAAATCAGAAAGTAGCTGGAGATATGCATCAACAACTACATCCAACCAATATAAATGGTGGGGGTAGGGGGTAGGGATGGCCCCTGTGACTGGTTAGTTGCATAGAGACCTCTAGGTGAGAAGCTCCACATTTAAGTCCCACTTGCCACAAAAAATGTCCAAACAGGTTGGTTAAAAATAACTTACTTTCTTCGACTCAATTTGCTCATGTATAGAGTATGCACAGTGATGGTTTTGTGAAAAGGGGAAGAGAAGGCAGGAAATAATTACAGTAAGGCACAGTGAGATAACAAGGTGTAGAGCTGGATGAACACAGCAGGCCAAGCAGCATCATAGGAGCAGGAAGGCTGACGTTTCGGGCCTAGACACTTCATCAGAATTGGGGGAGGGGAAGGGGGTTCTGAAATAAATAGGGAGAGAATGGGAGGCGGATTGAAGATGGAAAGAGGAGAAGATAGGTGGAGAGGAAACAGACAGGTCGAAGAGGCGGGGATGGAGCCAGTAAAGGGGAGTGTAGGTGGGGAGGTAGGGAGGAGATAGGTCAGTCCAGGGAGGGCGGACAAGTCAAGGGGGCGGGATGAGGTTATTGGTAGGAAATGGGGGTGCGGCTTGAGGTGGGAGGAAGAACAGGTTAGGGAGGCGGGGACGAGCTGGGCTGGTTTTGGGATGCAGTAGGGGGAGGGGAGATTTTGAAGCTTGTGAAATCCACATTGATACCATTGGGCTGCAGGGTTCCCAAGCGGAATATGAGTTGCTGTTCCTGCAATCTTCGGGTGGCATCGTTGTGGCACTGCAGGAGGCCCAGGATGGACATGTCGTCTGAGGAATGGGAGGTGGAGTTGAAATGGTTCGCGACTGGGAGGTGCAGTTGTTTATTGCAAATCGAGCGTAGGTGTTCTGCAAAGTGGTCACCAAGCCTCCGCTTGGTTTCCCCGATATAGAGGAGGCCACAACGGGTACAGCGGATGCAGTATACCACATTAGCAGATGTGCAGGTGAACATCTGCTTGATGTGGAAAGTCTTCTTGGGGCCTGGGATGAGGGTGAGGGAGGAGGTGTGGGGGCAGGTGTAGCACTTCCTGCGGTTGCAGGGAAAAGTGCTGGGTGTGGTGGGGCTGGAGGGGAGTGTGGAGCGGACAAGGGAGTCACGGAGAGAGTGGTCCCTCCGGAAAGCAGATAAAAAGGGTGGGGAGGGAAAAGGTGGGGTCGGATTGTAGATGGCGGAAGTGTCGGAGGATGATGCGTTGGATCCGGAGGTTGGTGGGGTGGTACGTGAGGACGAGGGGGATTCTTTTTTTGGTTGTTATTGCGGGGATGGGGTGTGAGGGATGAGTTGCGGGAAATGCGGGAGACACGGTCGAGGGCGTTCTCGACCACTGGGGGGGGCAAGTTGCGGTCCTTGAAAAACGAGGACATCGGAGATGTACGGGAGTGGAATGCCTCATCCTGGGAGCAGGTGCGGGGAGGCGAAGGAGTTGGGAATAGGGGATGGCATTTTTGCAGGAAGGTGGGTGGGAGGAGGTGTATTCGAGGTAGCTGTGGGAGTCGGTGGGCTTGAAATGGATATCGGTTTCCAGATGGTTGCCGGAGATGGAAACAGAGGTCCAGGAAGGTGAGAGAGGTGTTAGAGATGGTCCAGGTGAACTTAAGGTTGGGGTGGAAGGTGTTGGTGAAGTGGATGAACTGTTCGAGCTCCTCCTGGGAGCATGAGGCGACGCCGATACAGTCATCAATGTAACGGAGGAAGAGGTTGGGTTTAGGGCCAGTGTAGGTACGGAAGAGGGATTGTTCCACGTAACCTACAAAGAGGCAGGCATAGCTTGGGCCCATGCGGGTACCCATGGCCAGCCCCTTTGTCTGTAGGAAGTGGGAGGAATTGAAAGAGAAGTGGTTGAGGGTGAGGACGAGTTCGGCTAAGCGGATGAGGGTGTCAGTGGAGGGGAACAGGTCAGGCCTGCGGGACAGGAAGAAGCGGAGAGCCTTTAGGCCATCTGTATGGGGAATGCAGGTGTATAGGGACTGGACATCCATGGTAAAGATGAGGTGTTGGGGACCGGGGAATTGGAAGTTCTGGAGGAGGTGGAGGGCGTGGGTGGTCTCATGGACGTAAGTAGGGAGTTCCTGGACCAAGGGGGAGAAAATGGAGTCGAGATAGGTGGAGATAAGTTCGGTGGGGCAGGAGCAGGCGGAGACAATGGGTCGACCAGGGCAGTCAGGTTTGTGGATTTTGGGAAGGAGATAGAAGCGGGCATGCGGGGTTGGGGAACGATGAGGTTGGAGGCTGTGGGTGGGAGGTCACCTGAGGTGATGATGAGGTTGTGGATGGTTTGGGAGATGATGGTTTGGTGCTCAGGGGTGGGGTCATGATCCAGGAGGCGGTAAGAGGTGGTGTCGGAGAGTTGGCGTCTGGCCTCGGCGATGTAGAGGTCAGTGCGCCATACTACAACAGTGCCTCCCTTGTCCGCGGGTTTTATAGTGAGGTTGGGATTGGAGCGGAGGGAGTGGAGGGCTGCACGTTCGGCAGGGGAAGAGGTTGGAGTGGGTGAGAGTAAGGCACAGTCCCCATTTTCATACTACGGATTATGCCCCTACATTTACTCATACTTAAAAACCAGTAAAATAGGAGAAGCAGAGAGGTAGGATTGATGTCAGCACTGAGGTTTCTCTGCACCACAGGTTGAGAAACAAAACACGCAAAACTGAAAGTGCTGCAGCTGTATCAGTGAGGGAGGCACAGTTACAACATGAAAGGTTTCCAAAGGAAATTTCAATACAATGTGAACATAGAATTTATAAAGGCTTTTCATTAGTGCATTTCAACCTGGTTCAATTGATTTGTTGCTGCTTCATGAATAAATAGAAACATAAAAGGTCTACAGCACAGAAAAAGGCCCTTCAGCCCATCAGATCTACGGCAGCCAGAGACAACCACCTGACTATTCTCATCCAGTTTTTCAGTACACGGCCCATTGTATTCTATGTTTTGACATTGCAAGTACACACTTCTTCAATGTTATGAGGGTTTCTGTCTCTACTAACCATATACACAGCGAGTTCCAGATTTCAACTACACTCTGGGTGAAAAAGTTTTTCAAATCTCTTGACTCTTACCGTAAGTCTATGCCCCTTCATCATTGATCCCTCCACCAAAAGGAAATGCTTCTTCTTTGCCTGCACTGTCAATGCCCTTCATAGTTTTATTCATCTCAGGCAACATTTCCCCTTTGCACCCTCCCCAGTATAATCACACATCCCCTACCCTGGCGCCTCACATTATGTGATTTAAAATCTTTTTACAGGATACAGCATCGGTAGGAGTTGAAGTGAAAAGAAAAGCACGCTGGATCTTACAATCAATCTTAAATGGTGTTACACATGGGGAGACAAGCCCAAAATATACTGATCACGATGTCTTTTCCCCAAGCTGGGGGAGTCCAAAACTAGACAGCATAGGTTTATAGTGAAAGGAGAAAGATTTAAAAGAGACATAAGGGACAACTTTTTCATGCAAAGGGTGGTGTGTGTATGGAATGAGCTGCCAGGGGAAGTGGTGGAGGCTGGTACAATTACAACATTTAAAAGGCATCTGGATGGCTACATGAATAGTAAGGATTTGGAGAGCTCTGGGCCAAATTCTGGAAAATGGGACTAGATTAATTTAGGCTATCTGGTCAGCATGGACAAGTTGGACCAAAGGGTCTGTTTCCACACTGTACATCTCTATGACTCTCTGACATGAAAGAAAATAATATGACGGGGGATAACTGGACCAAGGCTTGCATATTTAATATTATTCCCACTTTTATATTCAAACATTCTATTTAGTTTAAAAAATATTTCATTAAAATGCCAGTATCCACATTTCTAATGCAAAATTAGTTATTTAAATATGTTAGTTGTAATTACACTTTACCAGTAGTGATGTCAAAGCAGTTCCACTCAGCAGATAGCAGAATTGTCACACTGTAATGGTGGCAAATACAGTTTCTATTGACATACAAATTTAGGATGGAAAAGCTGAATGCAAATATCAGAAATGTGAACAGCCTGCATTAATGCCCTGCATGGTCTTTCATTTTCCCAATGACCTCTGGCTCCTCATCCTTCTTGTGTTGTTTTGCTTTAACCAATCATTTGATAATGCAGGGCCTTCATTTGCTGTCTCCTTTCTTGTCAGCGGTCGAATTCAATTGTACCCACTTAAACGATAATCAATGGGCCAAAAAAAAATAATCAGCTACCTTGGAGAAGTTAATATCATTGGCAAAAATACCTACACCTAAGCCTTGAATCGAAAGAACAATCTTATATGTCTCAGTCACAATATCAGTGTTATCCCAGCTGCAGCTTGTTCTGTACTCTAATCTTGATTACTGATCACAGGTGCGAGGTGACTGTACTTTCATTCATTGATTCAGAACACAACACACACAAAAAGGGTACTGATCTTCCCAAGATTTCCATGCAATTCACAGAACTCAGTATAAATTCTTCAAAAGGTGAAAGGTATTAATGCCAAGAAGATGTCACTGATTTTTCTTTTTTAGTTCCCCGCTGACATTTCATGCTACTTTCACTGTGAAAGGTGAGTCATGTACAAGTGCAGTAAAGTGCTTTGCTGCGATTTGTATTTCCATGCCGCGATTTGTATTTCCTTGCCAACCAGCTAAACTCAATGATTTGGACAAAACGAAATTGTTTGCCCAAGCCACTCCATTGTGTTTTTTGCTTGCAACAGAACTCATTTTCCTTTTCTTTCTTCCCTTGTACATGCAATTATCCTCCTCCCTGATCTTTGCTTAAGTCGCTCAAGGTGCTCAGGTAGGGAGGTGGTCATTTTGTGGTTAGGTCATTGGACTAATAACTCAGAGTCCCAGACTAATGTTCTGGGGACTGGAGCTCAGATCCCACCACAAGATTTGGTGAAATTTTAATTCAATAAATAGCTAGCCTAATGGTGACCGCTGTTTATTGCTGTAAA